GAGCCCTTCTCTCACGACAGCAGCAGTGATTCGTCATCACATTTTTGGGTCCTTAAGGTCTATCGAGGTTATTTATAGGAAGCAGAAATACCTGCACCAAATTGTTATGACAATCCATCCAGGGGTAACTGAGATATTTCTGAGAGGATTCAATGTGGTGGTTTTAAGAATCTGCCAGTCTAGTTTCAGGACAAAACAACTTTAGGCTTAGGATTATTTCTCAGTCATTTACAGTTAGTGGTAGACTGCACATCAGGAGCACTGGTGGCCTGATAGTTATTTTAGCCCTGCTGTGAACTGTCAGCTTGTTCAGTGACATTGTAGCAAGCAGTATTGAGTTGACAGACCTTTCAGACCTCTCAGGGGTGACGGATGTGTGGAGACTGTTTGCTCTTCCGTGTGAGCAAACACAGCCTCTTCGCAGCCTCTTTCTCTGTTACTCTCTCTGGGAAAGACAGCCAACATGCACCCACTATATAGATAGATGATCCATAAAACAAGAAAAAGTACATTTGGAGGAGAAATGCACCAGTCAGAGACCAGGCCAGTCAAGAACACCTTAGCTACTAGCTAGTTAATTTGTTGTACGGCTGTTATACATTCATGGTTATAGACTCTCTTCACCCCTGTAAACTTATATGTTCATTTGCTATTGAAACATGAATTTCACTAAGCATTACTGATCAATTGATATAGCATTAATATTATGAAAAGGAATTCTTTAAGTTAGGATGATTCTGTTGTGAATCTCTGAAAACCAGTGTTGAGTTTGTCGGGTGACAAAGAAATGCTTTACTGTAATCACATGACATTTATCAGTAACACAGTAATGTAACACGTTACTCTACTAAATTCTGTTGCAGTTACAGTTATGTCATTACTTGCGTCACAAAGGTTCTTCAGTTATCTGAATGCCAGGCAGATCGGTGTTAAAATTATTTTTATTTTGACTGCACAAAAGGACAAGAACATGACAGCAAACTGCATCCAGGACAGAAACAACTGCATTATAATGCCAACAGAACCTCCACTCTTAACAGATACCTACATGCTAATGTAAAGCTGACCCGAGCCCAGCAGCCAAAGTATGAACTTCAGCAGGTAACACCAGCAGTGATGTGACGCTCGCTTTAAAATCTCTTTGTGCTGGTTTGTTTTTCTCTTTGTGTTTACATGTAAACACTAAGAGAAAGATTGTATGTAGACTCACTAAGATAGGGATTTGTGTTACTGTGTGGAACTGTATCCACAGGTTCATATTCTTAACTGGTAATTATGTGACAATATGTTTCAGGCCATTTTATGGAGTAACAAGAAAGCAATGTAACAATAATGTAACAAATAAATAATAATTAAATACGTAACATACTGCATTGCATTTAGGAAAGGTAATAATCAATGTGATAGAACTTTTTAATTGAACACTGCTAATAACTGTAAAGAAGCCATAGGGTTAGATTAAAAAATTGAGTGGCCTGGGATGATATCAAATTCCCAGCCTAAGTTATTGTTTCAGTCGGCCCTGGGCTAACCATGCCAGAAGATCAAATCTTTTTTAAAAGGGAGACGTGATCTTATAAAATGAAAATACCAGAAAATGTTAAATATGTATATATGTTAAAGATTTAATATGTGTTCAATACTTAAGAGGCAAAAAAAAAAACCAACCCAAAACCTTTGTCAGCATTTATTTTTTTTCTTGCTTGTCCTCTAATCTTACCTGCAGGTAATCATTTTTACTAATTTTGCTAATTTACTCACAACACAAGCCAATAACCTGTTCTTCATTTGTTTAATGACCAAAGAAAACAATGTTTCCAGAAGCTGTGCGGCACAACTGTTGGCCTTTACAAATCTAAATTATACAGACACTACAGCAACATCTCTACAGTATAGAACAATGCATGGCTGGCACCAACAACATGATTAGATTCAAGGTTTTATTTACATTACTACCTCTGTTCAAAAGTTAGAATTAATCTCACTGCAGGCAGGATTCTTCAAAACCCTGAGAAATTCTGAAATCACTTGTCTGTTTCACTACAATCATTTCTTTAAACAAAGCAGCTTACAGGTACATCTAAAGCTGAACATATTTCATCTCACAAGACAGTTCAAGCTGAACCCAAGCAGAATATATTTTTAAACCAGACAGACATAAAAAAGTGTCAATGTCATGAGAATGTGTGCAAAACATTGCTGTGCAAAGGAAATAATTTAAAAAATAATACCATGAAAAGTTTTCCATCAGTTAACCTCAGATAAACAGAAAAAGCTTAAAATACAGGTCTTTACGCTTCTTTTTATATAGGATGGCTCAGTGTCTTCTGTCTCTACATAATCCAAGATTTCACGATGATTTCATGATGTTGGAGCTCTGTGGGCTCTGTGCTGCAGGATTTCTTGTTTTTCTTGTCAGTGAAGACCCGCTGAAAACCTTTCATGCCTCTGCCTGCATGTTTGAAGCTGTCAAGGCTGCACAATGATGGTGTGGTATAAGTAATGAAAATTTTATTAATGACTTTTGCCTTAATGGCTATACATACATATGAAGGATTATTAAAGAGCAATATGCAGCCATTAGGCAGAACTCGAACATTTTAAGAGGTGTTTTAGAGCAGTGCTCATGGAAATAAATGGCCTCACAATGCACCCTTTCTTTCTGTTCTAATTAGTGGGTGACACTTTCTTTAGTTGGCTGCTTTTTGTACAATTTGAATTGCAAATGGAGGACTAATTACTCGCCACTAAAACAGTGCAGCTCAAATTGTTTCAACAAAACTCAAAGTGCTTTTTTTTTTTTAGCACGAGTACAAACACTTTGACACACAGCTGCAAGATGCATGTTCTGCTGTGTTCTACTCTATTCTTGCAAGTATGTAATTAGTATCTACTAATGACCAGTATAATGTAAGGTTACATTATCTATAGCTGCATTAAGGTGGCCATGTAGTTCAACCTATGTTAGAAAAATCTTCCTGCATGTTTTTTTCCCCTAATTAACAGCTTTACAGATTTATTAACTATGATAGGCTGCATTTCTATTGCCAGACAGCTGCTCCGTCATCAGCTTCTCCTTGAGAATGCATTCTCACAATGGAGCAGGTCGTCTCCGCCGCTGGGAATTCAGTCTGTCTGACAAGATCGTGCAAGGGTGTTTTTTTTTCTGAGAAGATGTAACAACAGATACCACTAACGAAAAAAGTAGATGCAGTGGGCGAAATGTGGATGCGTGCTTGTATTTGCCTGTGTGCATGCGTGCATGTTTCTATAGTGTTTGTGAATGCACAATTAAGTAAGGTGTGAATGTTTGTGCATGGGACACAAAAGCAAAGTAAACACTGTCTACGCTTCACTGACTATAACCCCCGGTTTAGCCATCACACCACTCATCATACTGCCAGCAACGGAAACGATTCAGCTGGATTCAGTTTTTTTTAAACAAACAAAAAAGCACAGCTTTAACTTCTGTTGCCTCAAGAAACGATCTGATTCCCTTTTATTTTCACTTATAATACCATGGATGTATGTAGTAACCTGTAGTGAAGTATATAACATTGATGAATCTTTGTGTTGGTCATGTGGATCCAGATCCCTCACTCACAAAACTGAACAGAAGTGAGATAAACTCATAATTTTTAAACAAACAGTTTGATATTTGAGGAGTTTTGCATATTTGCTGTCTTGCTTAGAGATTGATAAGAACCTCAACATGGCTCTATGAGAGAGCTGGTGAAAGCTGACAAATTTGGCATTACAGTGGTCAGTGTACCGGTATGAGGCATTCAAGGCTGTTTGTTTAAACAGTGTTGTCAAATGTGTAATAACAAGTATACCTCGCTACGTGAAATTTGTGAGTCACCCCTCATTTCTTTATATTTTGCTCCCAAGGATTCAAGCATGAAAAAGCCACCTAACTCACTATTGTGTTAACACATAACAGATATTTTAGTAAAGAATCAATTTAAAATGTGTATATTTAGGCACTTTGCTACTACCTGTAGCAAAAACAGATTGTTCTCATTTCTTTAGTTGAATCTATGAAGAATGCTAATGATAACACAGGTTCACAGGCATAAAATAGTCTTTTTTGCACCAACGAGGTAATTTCCAAAGAACTATTAGCTGAAAACCTGCCATATCTTGGCATAGTGTTTGGTGTGTTCTAAAAACTGTGAGTTAGGGCAGAGAAGAAAATAAAAAATTGCAGACCTGAAAAAAAGTAGAGTCCTATCATGTCCTAAGAAATTACCCGACAGAGGACCTTAAAGAGATGCATCTGACCCTTAAGTTGACCCATCTACTGCTCACTGAAGCCTCATTAGAAATGGTTTGAGTGGAAGGGAAGCTGTCAAGAAACCATAACCAAAGTGTGTCTACAACCGTCTATAAAACATGATGGAGACTTTGTCATGGTGTGGTGCTACATTTCAGTCAGGGGTGTCGGGGATCTTGTCAAAATTGATGGAATTATTAACAAAAGAAAGTATTATCAGATATGAATCCACTATAAAGTAACATCTGACTGAAAACAGCTTCATTTTTCATTATGACAATGATCCCAAACACACTGCCAATGCATTCAAAGCACACCTCGATAGAAAAACACACAATGAAATACCATCAGTCATGGATTGGCCTCCCTCGAGCCTGGACATCAACACCACTGAAACAGCACGAGATCATTTTGACAGAAAATGGAACAAAAGGCAGCGAACATCCAAAGAAGAGCTTTGAATGTCCTTTGAGAAGCCAGGAGAACTATTCCTGAAGATTGCTTAAAGAAATTATAAGAACGCTTGCCTCAGAAAGTTCAAGCTAAAGTCATACCAAATATTGACTTTAATTTTGTTAGAATGTACAAACTTATTTCCATGTATTTTTCAATAATTCTCTGCAACTATTTCCAAATTTCCTACTAAAATATAAAGAAATGAGCAGTGGCTCATTACCTTTCCATGGCACTATAAAATAGAAAACTACAGTCAGCGGTCATATTATGTGGCATTAACACTGAGACTGAAATCAGACCATCGGTGCCTCTTCAACAAAAAGTTAACACGTTGTACTTAAAATCAATTCAAAATTTGAAAACAGCGCTCGGGTCATTCAGGAATTATGTTCTCTAAGGATTTTCTAGTGAACACTCACTGGTTTAAACATAGAGACATATGTAATCTCAGAGGATTTAGGGACATTCTTTTGTTTTACTTTAATCACCTTGAGCTTCATGGTAACAAAACAGATTGGATTTTCACCTTGACATGAACAAAGAAACTCAATAAAATGTCGAACTGTACCTTTTAAACATTTACACAGTGTCACAGTGCTCGCTGTTCTTCGGAATGACGCATGCACAAAGTGTTAAATTATTCTCTTTTTCTCCAGCGAAGACGTAAATGTCAACCACATAAAAACTAGCAAAAAAAAAAACAAAAAACAAGCCAACTGCCATTTAGTCATGAGTGTTAAACAAGAGTGTTAAATTCAAATATACATTCAGTGTTGTTTCATTTCATATGATTGATCTATAATCATCATCTGTCCTCGGTCCAGTTTATTCTAGAGCTGCAGACCTCATTGGATCAAACAGGGATTAAATGTCCTGCCTGCAGCTTTCAGGCCAAACTCTCCTCTTCTGTCATCTGGTGTGTTCAGCTTTGTGTTATTCAGACCTGTTGTTTGGCAGACATGTGCCAGCATTGGCAGCCTTGGCAGTTGGAACAGGTAACATATTGTGCCAAATACTGTTAGTGCCCATCTGTTTTATGTGTCTGAGTTTCCCCACATCATTTCATTAGTTATATTCACTGATATAATACATCCCGGCTGCCAAACAGTGTCTCTTTCAGATCAGTTGCTCTTTGAGGACTTTTACACAACATTAGTGTTATTTTTTCAGGGTTCACATTAGAAAACTGTCCGTATCCTTCTTATGTTAAATGATCGGGATCAGTTCACCGCGTTATTATTGTTGCCTTCCTCCGCAGCAACAAACTTAATCTCAGCATTTGCAGTCCTGGAAGCCATGCTGCTGTCTCTGACCTTGTGCTTGAACAGGAAGGGAAAAGTTTTCCTGAAAGACTTTTGGAAACTACCTCCCATAAAGCCATAAACTATGGGGTTGACAGAGGAGTTGGCGTAGGACATGCAGTTGGCCCACGTCTTGATCTTGTATGTGGCATAGTTAGGCTGGTAGTTAGGATAGAAAGACTGGAAGAGGACAAAGATCTGGATGGGCCCCCAGCAGATGGCAAAGAGAAGCACAATCACTACCACCATCTTGGAAACTTTGCTCCGGATGCTGATTGTTCTCTCAGACAGGAGATTCACCTGAAGACACAAAACAAGGAACCCTCTTTGTAATGTTTTTGACGATATTTAGAATATGTAACAGTGTTACCAGAGTGATAACAGTCAATCAAAACAGAAAGTTATCAAAAGAAGGAACTAAAGGACACAGAAACGCTCCTTCGGGTAGCTACAGAATCTCTTATTGGAGTAAATAAGAATGTAACGTCCTCGGGACCAAGAAGAACCATCAGTGGTTTCCAGGTGATTGCACTTTTTTGCACTTGGTGACTCGGTGAGTAAGTGAGGTTGAGCATGCAACACACAAAGTACTGGGCAACCACTACACTGAGGAATCATTGTAATTGGAGACTCAACTTATTCGGTTGCCAGTTTGTTGTATCCTGGTTATACTGGATTCATTCTAAAGACAAAACTGACGAGCAGCAACTACATCAGTGTTTCTGTGGACATTTCTTAATTTCTGTTTCAAATCTGTGACGTTCTGGCTGGACACTGAATATAAGCAGTGAATGAGATTTTCTCTTTATTGTGATTTTCTGTGTACATAGACTGCATCAGATTTGCAGAGTTTCACAGGTTAGTGGTTTTCACCGATTTCACAGAGTTAATTGGTGTATTATCGCAGATAGATTGCATGTAATTGCCAGCGTGACCCCTTTCAGTGTCTTAGCAAGTCAGTTCTATCTTGTTGTGGTTTTATTTCATGTATTTATGCACCAAAGTTGCTTTAGAGACAGCAACTGACTAAGAGTGGTTGCAGACCTTTGTCGTGCTGGGTCACCAACCACTACTTTTCCTGGTGTGACTGTATTAAAGGCTTTATTTCCCCTTGAGGTTGTCAATACATTGCAACCTTTTTATCCATTGATATTAGAGGATATTTGTTTCACTCTCTTTCTTATATTGGTGTAAATTATTGATCAGGGCATTAGTGCTTAAAAAATCACTCCCACACTGAGTGGGAATGTTTGGCAACATAATTGCATAATTGCTCCTAATTGTCTTCTACCTTATCCTGTCACACTTTCAATATAACACCTGTAGTGATGAACATTACTCCCACTCTGTCCACAGCAGGTCTACCTGCTCATGTTCCCAAAATGTAGTGAAGTGTAAGATCTCTTTGTGTTGACACAAAGGCAATAATTTGTCTTCCTGTAACACTCGTGTGCAGAAGTTAGCAAGTATAATGCAGTTGCTCTTTTTTATGAATAGGTTCAACATTGAAAAAGAAAGCCACAATAAAAAAAATTATAAAATGAAGAAAATTATAAAATAAAGAGTTGACTGCAGCCACTTTAAAGGAGTTTTAAAACACATTTTCAAAGACGGGGACATGAAGAGAAGAGAAGAGAAGAGAAGAGAAGAGAGATTTTAAACTTTTAATTGGCTGAAAATTAGCAGCAGCTGGTGACAGTAATATCTCTGTGCATTAGTGGCTGTGTTTGTGAGGCACTTGTGAAGCCCAGGCCGATATAATGCCTGCCCTTACCTGATAATTATTGTCTACAGGTTCTACAGTGGGCTGGCCAACCCTCTTAACCATCAGAGTGTAGCAGAAAGAGATAGTGAGCACAGGCAGCAGGTAGGCAGCAATGAACTGGTACAGGATGAAAGCCCTCTCATGCGTCTTAGAGGGAAATCTCTCCATGCAGTATTGCCTCGGGCCGTACCAGTAGCCCTCCTCTATACGCTGGTACATTAAAATTGGTGTAGAGAGGATGAAAGAACCTGAAGAGGAGAAACATGGTTAGGTGAAATGATGGCATTTTAAATTTTATACATATACGCAACTATTTTTAACGAGTCAGTCGATAATGACACGACGTACCGATCCAAATGCAAATGCTGACAATCATGGCTACTTTGGGGGTTCGGTGCCGAAGAGATTTCAGGGGGTAGATTGTCACGTAACAGCGGTCTCCACTCATGGCAGTCAGGGTGATGCAGGTGGCTTGCACTGTCACCTAACAAATGAAGACGATGCTCATTTCATTTACATTTAAACTCAAAGTGCTAAACATAAATGACAAATACATGAAAAGATAATAGAATTAAAGATAAATTATGAAGCTGTCTTATTCAAATTAGTTTGTGTGAGCAAAAATGGTTCTTTTCCAAAAAGAAAAAAAACTTTCTTCCTTTTGGAGAAGAAGAGTGATCGTGCAGAGATTATTTTTATTATTTTATGAAATAATCAAATATTACTCAGAGGATGGGATAATCTGGGGTCACCTGACCATGAAACAGCTTGTGAGACAATTTTCCGATTAATTTTGACCCACTGAAAATGGGGACTATGAATACAAAGGGATGTAATTCTTAAACTGTTAATACTTTTGTTAAATCCCTTGAATGAAAGCTGAAAGTCTGCACTTCAGCTGTGGTGTACAGATGTGAAATTACAAAATGTGTCACTGTCCAAATAATAATGGACGTGATTCTAGGTACATAAGCTATTGTGCTTTAGGAAAGGAGAAGAAATATTACTTATGACTCTCAGATGTTTAACAATACAGCTGTGAACCAAGAAAATTGAAAAGCAGAAATATATTAAATAAAGTCTATTTAGCTTGGCTAACAAAAATAATAGCTTTAGACAGCTGAGTCCTCACTCTGCTCCATCTGTGCTTTATGATGTCACATCACCCACAAGAAAGAAGAAAAACAACTAAACAGTGAGTAAGCATACAAAGGGAAAACAGGCTAGCAAACAAAACTGGGATAAATGACCAAAAAATAAATTCAAATGTAATCTTTCTGGTCTACTTTCAGAGAAGATATCCTTACAAGCACCACAGATAAATCCATAACACAGCTATGTGTTCAGTGGAAAGACTCAAATTTAAAACTAGCTTAAAATTAAAAGAAATGATCATGTTTGGCATTATTTCATATTGCACATTTGTGGAAAAGTTACAGAAATATGTAGAGAGTGTTCCAAAAGAGGATCCCTTGATGTAAATTAGGCAGTGGTGGTGTCTCAAAGAAAGATGCCATGGTCTGGTTGGTCAAACAGAATAGGAGGAGAAGAAATTGGCTTAACACTGGATCCATTAACCAAACAGAGACATTAAAATGCCAACGCACCTGAAATATATTCATTTTAAACAGTCAAACATACACATTGCCATGGCCTCCAGGATGCTGTTGTTGTTTTTTGCTGTTTCACTCTTTCTCACCAGGGTGGAGTCAGACTATGCTCCCCACCTCTGTCCTCGCCTACTCAGCTCTACTCACCTGTCACCCATCTGCTGTGATCACTCACCTGCCAATCATCACGGATTACTACCCTCAGTGGAGTCTGCTTCCTTGCTGAATCGTTGTGCTAACTTGTGTCAGTGTAGACCCGGCTTGGCTAGTGAGTTCCTTGTGTTTCCTCGTGCTTCTCCCTAATCTGTTCTTTTTGTGCAGACTTCCCTATCCCTACCTGTTTCTCCAGCCCTGTGGACCCTGAGTGAGTGTGAGTGAGCGTGAGTGAACTTTCTTGGATTGGATTTGGAGGTTTTGTGACTCATGGACTGTGTGAAGAGGAGTGTGAAGGTTTCCCTGCCCTGGACATTCTCCCCTTAGATTCCCTGGAGCCCCCTTCCCCTGTTGCTGTATATATTTCACCTGGTGTGAAATAAACCCTTTTCACTTTTCACCAGTTTTGAGTCCGGCACCTAACTAACTTTGACGCAAATGTGTTTCTTACAAGAGCTGACAAGCTATTAGAGGAAGCTCTTTTCTTATAGTGTCTTGCAAACTTGTTTTTTTTTTTTGTTTGTTTTTTTGGCTTTATATTTTAATCGCTGCTCTCTAGAAAGCAGATGTTCAAGCAGCTTTTTTGTCCTTTATTTCAGACTCCCTCTCCAGTTCTTACTAATGGGCTTGCATGCTTTTAATCTGCAGATCATTCAGAATGGTAAAGAGCGAGGGATAGAACCGGAGAGGAAGTGCAGAGGTGGCAGCATTTGTGAGGAGTGTTTTTCATTAGCATATGAAGCAATCATCCAACTTCATTTTTAATGGAGTTCAATGATGCTTGATTCAATTAAACTTGAGCTAATCAGAAGAATTGTAATTGAAGACCAAATATAGAATTTTACTCGCACATTAAAGACAAACTTTTCCATCTTACACAAAATTAAAAATGACTGCATTTAATCATTACTTATTATTAACCTGTGGCTCTCATCCACAGTGTGCCTTTTATCCTGTCTTCCTCCCCTCACAAACAACCGGTTGCAGCAGATGGCTGCACCTCCCTGAGCCTGGTCCTGTCGTAGGCTTCTTCCTGTTAAAAGGGAGTTTTTCCTTCCCACTGTTACCAAGTGCTTGCTCACAGGGGGGCATTAGTGTTTGATTTTTTGGGGGGGGAGGTTCTCTGTGTAATTGATGGTTCTTGCAGTATAAAGCACCTTGAGAAATGAAGTGAATTGAATTGAATCAATATTTCCACTTGGACTTACAGTTGTGTTCTAGAGTAAAAAAAAAAGAAGCCTCAAACAGATGCTTTTCTTGTTTCATACGCAACTGTGCATTGATGTCATCAGGATGACACAGAAAGCAAGCCTAACACTTTCTACCGTCTTTGTTCCTTTTGGATACATCACCTCTGTGGGTCTTAGTGGGTTGTATGTAGGCAAACTAATCCATTTTTTGTTTTGAAATATGTGGAGCAGGGTGAAAAATGAGGGGTCTGAAGTTCCCTCTATGCTCTTTTATAAATAGGATCTAATGTTGTCCCTCTTTTGTCTATGTGTCTGCCTGTTTCGCTCGCCACCTCTCATCTGCGACTATGAAGCTAGCACACATTACCCTCCAGAGGTTTTGTGCACCAGGACTACAGGATTTCAAAAGATATGGTGAGAGAGAGAGAAAGAGGTCATCATAAGTTCAGTGTTGAGGCGGCTGAGGAAATGGATACCATTTTTCCTGTGGTTTTTTTTTTTTTTTAAGATGTCTGGTATATTAGTAGCACATAAATTCAATTCATAATTTCTATTCTACTGTAGTTTTGTTTCTTTTTAATGACGGAAGAAAATGAGGGAGGAATACATAATAATGATCTTTTTTCTTTAAGCTTCCTAATCTTTTTTAATTATTCAGTTTAAACATGGTAATTAAAATCATAGGGCTACACGGGGGATAAGATTCAGATAAAGCTATTTACATCAGTGTCTTAAAGTATTTGAGATCTGCAGTCTAATATTTATATATCAGATACATTTAAAGGGACAGTTTACTTTTATTCATCTGAAAAAAAATCATCAATACCAGTCCATTTTGTGATTTTAGCTTCTGGAATATCCATCTGTCCATCAGCTGGGGCCTGTGCAAAATAGAAATAGACCAAGAGGCAGTTCCACGCCCTTGAGAGCTCACCAGTTCATCTCAGGGTTCTCAAGCACACACTCTCATATCCACACCTCAGTCAGTTTAGAAACACCCAGAACTTAATGTGCATGCCTTTGGACTGTGGGAGGAAACCAGATTACCCAGAGGGAAACCCCTGCAGACACATGGAGAATCCCACAGAGAAACGCCCAGCCAACAAGGAGGTTTGAACCCAAGCAATGCTAACCACTGCACCGCTGTACCTCCCAACAGCAGTTTTCAGTATTTTTTAATCTTCTCCAGATTTAAAATGCGTGAAACTTCTGAAGATCACATACAGCTTGGACTTTAAAAAGGTTTGAAAACTTTCATTAATACATTATTCAAGAGAATAACAGGCAGATTAAATGTTGACTAAAGTCTGTGAAGAGCTAAAAGTTTCCTGCAGAGAGCTTTGATTTAATGTAATCAATGCTCCTCTCAGACTAATCTTCAGCCTGGTAATAACTGGACATGAAAATACATCTGCTAATTAGACTGGAAAGATGAAGGAGCAGTATCCCACCCTAGCAATGTAATCTTGCTTCCTTAATTTAGTTTCAAACAGCACAACAGGGCAGGAACCTTTGATGAAGTGTGATGGTATTTTTACACAAACCTTCTCCTAAGTGGGCAATTACACATCTAATTTGTGGTTTGAAATTGAATGTGAGTGTGAATGGTTGTCTGTAACTCCATCTTAGCCCTTTGTGAGACTGGTGGCCTGTCCAGTGTGTACGCTGCCTATCACCTTATGGCAGCTGGGATCAGCTCCAGGCTCCTGAATTGGACAAGCGAAAGAAAATGGATGACCGGTTGGATGGAATTGGTATTGACCAGTAATCCTATAAAGCCCTTAGACATTCCCTGCTATTCTACAATATAACTGTACCGACAAGCAGTAGTTGGGTAATCTGTCATCACGATTCTTTAACAGAGGCTGGATGTAAACACAGCAGGAATGCGTCACCCACTGTTACCCGTCGACTGTTTTTTTTAATTAAACTGTGGAAAGTTTAAGACACTAATAACACTAACAGCTCTTATTTCTTGGAGAAATTTGAGAGATTAAAGCAAAGAGAGTGGCCACTTCTCTTATCTCGTTACCTAATTACCTTTCTCCCTTGTATGCAATAATAAATGATGGTAGGCTAGCATAATAGAAACTGACTTGAAGGTTTGAGATGAGAAAATTGTCTGATAAGAGAGGAAAACAAGACAGTCTTGTTTGACAGACGCTTTCTGCTTTCAGAATAAAAAGCTTGGTCTTAGTCATCAAGACATGCTCACAGACCACGTAGTCTGATTGTTCACATCCATTAATCAAATCATGCCTATGTTTTTCTTGAGGTTTTTTTTTTTTTGAGGCTGACATCTAAAAAATTTAAAGTGTTTCTTTTTTAGGTTTGACAGAATGTCCCCTGCATGACGAATGAGATGAAATGTAATCAAATTGCCGCACGAAATAGAAAGCTAAATACATTTGCTGCATACTTTATCAGCCTCTGATATTGAAGATTAAAAAAAAATGTTGGGGAAAGTGATTTTGCTTGTAATGACAAAGTGCTTATTAACTGAACAGGAGCTGTGGGTCTCTCTGAGTGACTGTGTCTGGTTCGCGGTTGACTTTGTCATTAGAGTAGTCAGAGAACTGGTTATTAGTGCAAGGCTGAGTGTAATTAAAGCGTAGCCACTTAAGATCTGACTACACGTCTACTCGTTGTCAGACACTATGCATTTAATGTTGTTTTTAACATCTTTTCTCCGTGAATAAGCCGGGCGATGCTAAAATACCTTGGACAGCCTCCCCTCGTGATGCACTTGTACAAGGAAAGAAAAAAAGCATGAACGTAGGCACATTCAAAAAGTTCCACAAAAAAAGAGAAACATTCTCTTAAATTGGCCATTATTCCTCTTGAGTCATCTCTTTGTGTAGCTCTGCATCACTCACTGTGCTCCAGCTCTTTTTAGATCCTAACCCCTGTAGCTCTTCAATATAAGCCCTGTGGACCTGATTCACTTCATTTAACTCGACTTTTATTCTAACCCTACTTTCCTACATCTCTCAGTTTGTTGGTTTGTGCTGGATATACACCGATTAGGCAGAACATTATGATTACCTGCCAAAATAGCCTTGGCTAATCAAAGCAGGGATTCCAATTGAGCCCTGAAGGTGCGCTGTGGTATCTGGGATCAAGATGTTACTAACAGATCCTTTAAGTCCTGTAAGCTGAGAGGTGGGGGCTCCACAGATCAGATTTGTTTGTCCAGGTGGTACATATCAAAGTAACATTCACATAGATGGCAGGACCCAAAGTTTCCCAGTAGATCATTACATAAAGCATCGCATCGCCTCCACTGGCTGCTTCTCATAGTGCACCCTGGTGTCAGGTGTTCCCCAGTTAAGCGATGGATGTGCATCCACGTGAGGTAAAACAAAATGTGATTCATCAGACCAGGCTACCTTCTTCCATTGCTTTGTGGTCCAGTTCTGATGCTCACATGCTCATTGTTGGCACTTTTGGCAGTGGATGGGGATCCGTTTGGGCACCCTGACTGGTCTTTGGCTGAACTCCATACACAACCAACTGCAAGGCACTGACATTGTTCTATCAGAGCCAGCATCATCTTTTACAGCCATCTGAGCTGCAGTAGCATCTGTTCGATCGGACCACACGGGTCAGCCTTCTCTCCCCACGTGCATCAGTGAGTTTTTGCTGCCCTGTCACTGGTTCACCACGGCTCCTTCATTTACCACATTTAATAGATGTTGACCTCTGCAGATCAAGAACACCCCACAACAGCTGCAGTTTTTGAAGATGCTCTAACCCAGACGTCCTGCCATCATAATTTCGCCCTTGTCAGACTCAATGTTTAAAATCCTCATTCCCATTTTTCCTGCCTCTAACATTCTTCCTGCTTCGATGTATCATGTGTCAGTATATCGAGTTAGATATTTCCCTCGGGGGAGGGTTTTGAGTAAACTAGAATTAAAAGAGAACAATTATCAACTGCCTGGAAACATGACTCCAAACAAAAAGTATTTCTGTCTAGTGAGTCCATAACTAGACACTTGATATGATAATGGTGTTTGTAGCTATTTGCACTGCTACTAAGTGGCAGGATAGTTTAGTAATATTCTCCAACACTGAATTCACAGGTTGTTTTCACACAGTTTCCATCAGTGACTATGTGTCAATAACAGATAAGTTCAAAGAAGCCAACAAAATATTGCAGATGACACTTCCAAGTTAAGGATTGTTGTGCTACTCTATCCACATTTCCAAATTTAGAGCAACACCTTTATAGTGCAGCTGAAGCCATGACAGGTAGCTTTTGTCGTACTGTCTACAGGTCGTTTTCCGTTTTGTTTCTTTAGGTGGTTTATTTGCTGCACAGGCTTTTAGTTGTGGTTTCTTCCATGCATGAAAGGTGAAAATGGCTTTTTACCCAGTTTGCAGCTCCTCATCGTCAGTCAGTGCCTTTGATAATTCCAACCAACAGCAGCTGTGCAAACCTATTTCATTATGACACTCTGAATATTTGTTATACTTTTTTTGGCCTCTCACTAATCAAACAAAACAATTGAGAGGCATGATTGATTTAAGTGGCTGAAATCTGTTTTGAATGCCTGGATTAGATATTATAAAGGGTCCCACGAAAATAATGTTTTTTCATTGGAACTCGATGTTCAGTAGCCCCTTTAAATCTTGATTAATGTCTGGGTCTATGGAAGCATCGTATCACGTAACATCTTCATGTCCTTAACAGAAGATTCTGTTATTCTCTTTTGTGTCTCCTCCTTCTTGTGACTGATGCTGATTACTGCTATGATGACACATCTTGACACGTTTGACTTTTGAAGCTGTAGAGTTCGACCTACTTTCATTGTCATTTTTGAAGAAACTCTATAAAGTCAACAATGGCTTATTTTGGATTAGCTTTCTTGAGAACTGTAATTTTTTGAGGATGAACTGTGACTACCTTCACAGGATTATATAGATTGATTTTTCTGTGACAACGCCGAGCTGGCTCACTGTTCTCATGGGAGTAGGAGTGTTAAAGCCCTGAATGCTGTTACTGTGAGAAAGTTAAAGAATCCAAGATCATTTTAAGGGAAGTGTTGAAAATATAATATTCACATGAAAGCACATTTCTGAGCTGAGAAACAGAATAGTTGAAGTGGTTCAAAAGATATTACCTGTTGCAGAAAGGCGACAAATTTGCACATGAAGTTGCCAAAGATCCATCCAGGGAGGGGGTAAAGGGTGGCGGTGAAGGGGACGCAGCACACCAAGAAGATGATGTCAGTGGCGGCCAGGTTTGCTGCACAGGGAGAAAAGATAACGATGTATTTGATGAATGTTGTACAGTCTGCAGAACAGTGTTTAACTGAAAACGCTTGAAGCCAGTGGCATGGATTCTTCAACAATCCTGGAAAAAGCAGAAGGACTTCTAACTATCATCCCACCTTTCTTCGTTTGCATAACAAGTCTTTTTAAACCATCTGTGGTGAGTGGATGTGGAGGCACGCAGTCCTGTTTGCAGTAACATCAACTACTAGGAACTAACAGCAGCGTTGTAAAATTTAGTGCAATCTAATGCAAGTTTGCAGTCTCGCAGGTGTGTACAGTCATGGCCATCCAAAAAGGAAAAGTTTTCATACTCCTGTAAACATCCTGATAAAACTAAGTACATCCTTACTGCTTGCATAGGAATTAAGAGGCTAAGCAGCAACCAGGTGCTGCTATTCAACACTCACTTGATTAAGTGATCATCAGGACGTGTGACAACCTCTATAAAAGCTGAAGTTTTCACAGTGTGCCAATCTGAAGCATTAAGCTGTGTTGCCAGGAGGCACCGCAGCAAATTCACCCCAAGGTCAGATTGCGTAAGAAAACCCAAGAACTACATCTTGAACTCAGTTAGCATTTTAAATGTCATTTTAAAAGTCCATGACAATACAATTAGAAAAATACTGACTAGATTCGAGTTGTTTTGAAGGACTGCCAGATGAAAGCCTCTTCTCTACAAAAAGTATCAGAAGAAACTACAAGACTTCTGGAATAACATCCTTTGGACAGACAACACCAAAGATGCACAGGGCCACATCTGGCAAAACCCAAAACGCAGCATCAGCACAAATACCTTATTCCAATTATGAAGGATGGTGATTATCTGGGCTTGTTTTGCAGCTGCAGGACCTGGGTACCTTGCAGTCATTGAGTCAGTCATGAACTCCTCTGTATGCCAAAGTATTCTAGAGTCAAACACAAAGCCAACTGTCTGACAGCTAAAGCTTGGCTAAAATTTGGTCATGCAACAGGATCCACCACCATGAAATCATGACATGCTGTGGAGGGGCTTTAAGAGAGCTGTGCATAAACAAATACATGCAAACCTCAATGAATTGAAGTAACGTTGCAAACATGAGTGAGCTAAAATTCCTCCACAATCATGTGAGAGATTTATAAAGAAAATTAATACTTCAATTTATTGCTACTAAAGGTGGTTCCACAGGTTACAAATATGGGGTGTATTTAGTTTTTCACAGGACTTCACAGACTCCAGTGAAAACTTTCTTTTTCACATGACCGCATAAAAATACAGCTATTATAAAGGTTGTAGTGCTTTGAGTGAAGTGTTTAGTGTCCTCTTTGGGGTTTTGCTGTATTGAGTCATTAAAAAATGTTAATTCTTGAACACTAGATCAGCTTAGCAAGTTTTCATAATCCAAAATAATCTTTATGCTGCACCGCGATTCAGCATGCAAATTTATTTACTTTCTGAAATAAGTCAGAATTTCTGGCTCATATAACAAACATATGCACTGACCTTAAAACACATGCCAGAAAGAGGAAAATGCATAAAGCTTTAAGGTAAGAAATATAAAACTGGCACATTTTTTCAGGTACTGATAGTCTGCTTCAGAAGGAAAATGTATTTACATGATGATGCCTTTAGAAAATCAAGACACAAGCTGATACTTGACTGCCGGCAGGTCATACAGTACACACACACACACACACACACACACACACACACACACACACACACACACACACACAC